AACGTTTCAAGGAAACATGCCGTTCAATCTGAAAACGTTGCAAACCGGTGCAAAACGTTTTGAGATTGAACTCGCCCCTGTTCTGCCGAATGAAACATCCACCTCTTTAGGTCCTTTTCAGACACTTTGCTGGGCACATTGATCAAACGGCGTTATCATATTTTGCTGAATCTCAAGAAAGGCTACTTCTTCTAAGTGTGATAAAATATTGATGACTCTAAACGTTCATAAAATATCAAAATGCTTAATTATTTATCACCATTGATGAACCCCATAACACCGGAAGCAGAATTCGGAGGTGCAGCATTTGTTGTCTTCCGCCACATCTCGAAACATCCTATCCTACAAGCCGAACAACATCACCTCACGTCTCAACATGTCGTGATCACAGTTCATATTTGTATCCGGCTAAATTAGAAAAATATGACGGGGAATTTGAACAAACTTCACATCTCTTATGTCTTATTATGTATGTTGTGTCATTTTGATCTATCGAGGTTTTCGTCTGTGAGCGCACAGGGTAAGTTAACCGATGAGACGTGATTGTTAGCTAAACAGTGCTAGCACAAAACTGATGTTTATTTACAGCTAACTGGTTTTCATTCTGACTGTTCCTTTAATGTCAAGAAGCTAGTCTTAATGTTGTGTTCACGTGTTAACAATGTTGTGTTCACGTGTTAACAAAGTGTCAGTTAAATTGGAGATTCAGGTAGTGAGTTAGAGGTCTGGAACCAGGCTAGACCTTTTCAGTGCACCTTCTTTTAATGGGACAATTGCAACAATTACAAAGATCCACTCAGTCAATTTTAATAGCAGGTAATTGACACTTATGGCAAAGAAAAAGAGAGCTGTTACTAGAAATAAGAGATAATCTTCAGAGATATTGGTTAAAAGCTTGTCTTTAGCACTGTGGCTTACCCTCCCAAAAGGAAAACCGGTAGGACAGCCGTGAGTGAAACGTGTTATGTACTGACCTTGGTCTATATTGTACTTTTTTTCAGAGAATGATGAGTCACCAGAGCTCATGTTGTCAAAAGATGCAGTGTCCGACTTGGAGAACATTCCCAAGTTTGTGGAGTCAGAAGACTTGGACTCTCTACCAAAGAGGCAGTTCAAGACAGCTGAGATTGCAGATGCTGTGATGGGTACTGAAGCTCCAATCGATCCATCTGACATTGAGTCCCTCTTCCCCAAAAATGTGAAAGACTTCCAGTCAGGCTTCTCCCCGCCTTGTGATGACAGCAGTGGCCAGTGTGGTTCACCTGTTCTGGCTTTGAAAGGAGCGTCTCTGGAGGAGAAGAGCACTGAATCATCACAGCAGGTAACTCACCAGAAGCAGGATATTGTGAATAGGGGTTGTTTTCACATTAAAAAATCCATAAATTCCAGCTTAAAGAGTAGAAATACTAGAGGTCAGGTATGAACACCTGCCTTCAGGAAAACCATGATAAAGTTTGGCTTGAAACTCCATAGGTTTTACTACATCCTCCAGTGATGAACAACCAATGTGTGCAGTTTCATGTCTCCCTAAAGTTAATTTCTTGGATTTGGAGAATGTCTATGTTTAAAGAATTATTCCTACAACTACTGACAGGACAGACTGATTTACAATAAAACAATCCACAGTGGCAGCAGAAGGTAGTGAATTGCCAAATAGTTGGTAAATACATAGTTTTAACTAAATGTGAGTTCCTAAGATCAGTTCTTATTGTGAGTGCCTGAGGAGGAGGTAGCAAGTTAACTTTGGGGAAGTTGAATGATTTCAGGATAGGGGGGAAAAAAAATCTCCAATATGCATTACTATTTGTATAAATGATAAATTGTTTTCTTCATGTAGTTAAAAAAGATGTTTGATAATTTTGCTTCTTTACATTTTATTATATTTTTAAAATTGTTTTGAATGTGTAAGTTATGGACAGAATTCTAATTTAAAATATTCAACAGTTGTATGTATTATGTTGCAGAGATATCTACTGAAGTTAGCATGCTAACAAACCATTCCGTATTGTCTCATAATACCATGTTGTTCAGCTGTGAATAAACAGTGATGAGTGCAGTAGCAGTAGTGCAGAAGATGACTTCTCCTTGGATTTTTACCTCCAGGTCACCCTTGAAATAGTGCATGCTGACAACACACCAACTGAGGAGCAGAACGTCACAGAGACCGCCAAGACGTACAAGGTGAACTGTGATAGGAGGAACATCACAGGGATGGACACTTTTACCGTGCAGGTCCTGAATGCTTCACAGGTAATCATGCTGCCCTCTGAGGCACACTTTTTGAGGAGTGCCATCAACACTGTTAATGTCCGAATGCTGAATTTCTTCTTACATTTAAGAAGTTTGTGCTTAACACATGTTTTAAATTTGGCCACTATTCATCCATAATATTGGAAGTCTATTATAAGAATTAGAAATGTATTGTTGTGTAAACTCCAGAAAAATTCAAATTTTGCTTCATTGTAATAGACCCAAGACCCAACTGTTAGTATTCAGCTAAAAATGGCCAATATATCAGTTAGGTTTTCATTCCTACCAGGCTATTCTGCTCATAAAATTTAATGGAAACCTATTTTCAAAACGACAAATTACTTCAGTGGGCAAGAACAACTACCTCAGCAGAGGTGTGTGTGTCCTTTGTCAAGCACTACATTAATAATAAAAAAACAGAGTTTGCAAACTAATTTGCAAATAAAATATGAACAAAATTACAGCCATGCAGAGAGAAATTTTACTCCTGTTCTGAGAAAAAGGCACAATATGCCGCTTTGTGTTTGACTGACTAATTGTAGGAGAGCAAATTCGTTCATTCCTCATTTCTCTTAGGACCTGATGGATTTCCTGAATGCTAACAGCACAGAGTGCTCTGTAGTGCTGTTTTTCACTGCCTGGTGCCAGTTCTCAGCCAGCCTAGCACCTCACTTCAATGCCCTGCCCCGAGTCTTTCCCAGCATGCACTTCTTGGCGCTGGATGCCTCACAGCACAGCAGGTGAATGGGTAATTTTTCTGGTATTAATGCGTATCATCCCTCCCTCTTTGAAAGCCCACTTTAAAGGGGCATTAAGGGATTTCTGTTTTTTATTACCCTTTGTGGTGTGTGGCTTGGGTAACATCAGCTTGTATCTGGTAGAACTGTAACTCACATTTTTATTTGCTAGTAGACTAGCTTATTAGATTAGTGATCCAAAATACAATACAAACTATAAAATAAGCTTTTTTTAAATTGTGTTTCTGGGCAAAAATAATCTTACTTAAAACTTTATATGACGCAAAAACTGTAAAGTTAGACCAGTGGTTCCCAAAGTTTTTGGCTTGTGACCACCTAAAATAAAGAATTGTTGGCTTTGCTTCCAAAGTAATGTAAACAATGCTAACTGTACATCAAGATACCAAGATAATCCAACCTAAATCTTAACATTTTCAGGATTTGATGAGACTGCATTTTGATTCCATCCTTTGATATGTATTTAGTGCTGGTGCTCTAAATACATATGGTAGTAGTCCTGGTCACCCCCCCCCCTTCCCTCAATGTGAATAACATTTGAAAAACTCAAATATAATGCAGATCCACACAGCATCACTACAAAAATACAGACTTCAATCAATACCATTTTGTAAGAGTCTCATCAAAAACTGAACATTTAAATGTAAGCATGTGCATTTTTTTGTTTTAGTCTCTCCACGAGGTTTGGGACCGTGGCAGTGCCCAACATCCTGCTGTTCCAGGGTGCCAAGCCCATGGCTCGCTTCAATCACACTGACAGAACGCTGGAGACACTCACCTCCTTCATCGCTAACCAGACAGGTACAGGAAACAGTCTGAAATAATGCTGTTTTTATGTTTAGGACACTATAAAATGCACTATAAAACCTTCTAGACAGTCAAAATGTGTTCATTTGTCTATTGATGCCAAGTTCGGATTTCTCTGGACAGAGTACTCGCTATGCTGCTTTAGTTTTGATTGGTCACTTCCTGTCAGTTACTGCACTTCATGAAATAAAAACAATTTGACAGTAGGTTAAATCCGCTTTTTCTCAGGAACAGGGGTTAAGTCATTCCTCTGTGTACTGGCTTTGCTTCTGTTGCTGGTAAACGCAATGTGTATACATATATCAAGCATGCTGTATTTTCTGATAAACTGTTTGTGTTCCAGGGTTTGAAACCACCGCCGACAAAACCGTGATGGATTCAGATCATCTCGGCCCCCTCCCTAGCGTCCCGGTGAAGAGCATCGACTGGCTGCTGGTCTTCTCTATCCTCTTCATCGCGGGCTTCACCACATACGCCATCCTGCGGACAGAGAGCATTCGCTGGCTCATCCCGGGACAGGAGCACGAACATCAGGACTGAAAACACACACACACACACACACAGACTGCAAATCATTGGATGTAAACGATTATTTGATGAACAATTTAGTTTGTTAATAAATTCAACAGTTGCTAATTTACATATGTTTTTAACTTGTTTGATAAACAAATTAATGCATGTGAGCCATTGTGACTTATAATAAAGAATATAATGATTTGTAGCTTTTAACATTTCAGTGCTTTTTGCCATGTTAGAGAAGTCATAGCTATAGATTTGTGGTTCTGTGTAGTTTCTCTTCTGTGCTTTTTATAGATATTCCCTTTCAGCCATAATCCTGAAGTACAAAATAACTTGACTTTATTAACGTGCATTGGAATGTAGTCCACAAGAGTTTATCCAACTTATTAAACTGACCAATGGTATACTTCAAATTAATCATATTCTATAAATAATAATAATAATACATGCACTAATACGAATACTACTGGAAATATAATAGAAATATCTTTTTGTATTAATTTTATTTAATCATAATTATTAATCATCACTGACTGGAGAATCTGGTTTGCAAATCCTCCATTCGTGTCACTGTAGGAGCAGGCACATTGGGATAACCATACTCCCATCGAAAATATGGGATTTTAATCAGGCAGTAAACTGAACAGCTATGGTGAAGTGTGAGAGGACACGCAGAGAGCAGAAGAGGTGATAGGGGTGGTGAAAGAGCACAGCTGAGCTGACAAAGCGCTGGTTATGTCTAGGTTAATGTTTAGCCTGAGGACGGGCAGCTCATGGCTCTGCAAGCGTCCGTTCAGGCTGAGCAGTCTGCTCCTGCCTCCGCTCTCCGGGAACAACTGCTCTAAAATGGTGAGTGCTGCAGTGACAGTCTTTTAGCATTAGCATTTATAAGCATCTTATCTACGTACTTAATACATGGCTAGAGTTGTGTACACGTGGGCGTAATGTCACGAAACAAGCAAGAAGTGCACAATTTTGTATGCTGTGAAATAGCAAGCCACAGGGAAGACGCGCCGTGGTTTGTTGTATGACAAAACGTACGCCAAACTCTACTCAAAACTCTGCGAATTAAATGTCTACATGAAAACCAGTAAAAGGAGACACGTATTAAGAAAAGTGTGTGGTATTTCCAAATACCTTCGGAGATGTTGTTATGTTCGGCGTAATAGTTTGATGGATATAAAACTCACCAGACAATATTAACTTGACATTTTATCTTTGAGTTCAGCCTTGCCCTTTCCTCCCCGAACATTTAACGGTATTTAGTTAAGGTCACTGTATATTTCATTTATGTGAGCATTTGTTATGTCATAAAGTTCAGGATTTAGAAATAAAGTTCTGGTGTGTGGATTAGACGAGTGGACAAGTCCTACAAGGGTTAAATTCATATTATTTTGTTCGACTTTGCAAATAAGTAAGCCAAATATAAACAGATTTAAAATGACCAATTACTAAAGTTTGTTTTTAAAAATTGAGAATTCACGCTCAGTAGTTATACAGTTAAAGATGAATATCACAGCAATATGGCTGTAACTTTAATTTCTGTGTGGCCTGCCTGTTTCTTTACAAAGTAGGCCAGCGTTAGTACTTATTGTTGGTGCCAGGACTCCACCTTGTGGATGCAGCACTAACAGCACTAGGCTACAATGAAGGTGACAGTTCACCAGTGGCAGTAAAGGCAGAATCTGCACGTTTGTGTTAAGGTTGGTATGGGTTGGAAGAAAAGGGCGAAAAAAACAAGAATAAACATGTATGTGTATATTATGTATTTTTTTTAAATACAGTTTTTTATGTATTTATTTGTTAAAATGTCAGTTTTTGAAATGTGAGTGAGATTTTTTTTTTTTACAACAATTTAATACAGCTTAAAGAGCACAGCAGATTGAGAAAAGACAATAAACACAGAATCACTGCTTTTTCCAATGTAATAACTCCAACATGAACAACAAAATGATGTTGTACACATTCTGAGATTTGTGTGCGTACTTGTCTACAGTCGTCAGACTCCAACTGGCTCTCCCCTTCAGACCGGGATCAGCTTGTGATGGAGCTCAGGGCCACAGGCTGGGTGGAGGTGGACGACCGTGATGCCATCTTCAAAGAACTTCATTTTAAAACATTTAATCAGGTGTGTGTGTGTGTGATGTACTTCTGACATGTAACATTTTTGTCAAAAGTGAGGGTATTTAGTCACTTGCTGTGTTTTAGTTTAGTCTCAGACTGGGGTTTAAGGCTAAGATTACATTTAGGCAAGGCTGACGGTCAGTTATGTACTGTATGGTCTGTTACAGTTAGGGTTATCTGATTTCCTGTTCCTTGTCCAGTCATACATACTGTGTATGCATTCACTATGTACAAGACATATAGTTTGTGACATGGCCATCATTTAAAATAGTCTGTGTTGATGTGATTCATCTGCCATGTAAATAAAATAAATATAGCAAAACAGACAGCGATGCACACACACAGTAGGGTTGATTTTAGTTTTTCCGTGTTGAATAACATCAGAATTTTGCCATATTGGCAACACTTACACATCTGAGTTCACTGCTTTTCATCAAACAACATTGGTCAGGAGTTGGATGTAGGTAGCTAAAAGTGTAAGTAAAATAATTTTGTTCCTCAAATTATTGTGATAAACAGTCAGAATTAATCACTGGGATCATAGATTGGACCAAATCTGCATCACTGTGCAGCTGGTTAGAGCGTGTAAATGGGTTTTATTCAATTTAACGTGAAAGAAAGAACACGCGCACAGGCAGTTGACATCTTCAGTCTTTGTAGTTTTCTATTCCAGACGGCCAATAAAGTCTGCGACGAAACTCAAATTTTCTTTTAGTTTTTGGGGAACTCTGTAGGTCTGCTGGGGTCTTCAGGGGGCTGTTATAAGCTGGGTGGGGGTTTGCTTGATGGGGATCAGGACGCAGACCTCCAGATGCACGGCCATTTTGTTAACCATCGGAAACACACAAATTCATCTTTGTTTATACGCTGATTGGTTGCAGGTGTAGCAGGGGGCAGGTTCCTCTCTGCTTTCACTATTTTCATTTGGTTCATAGATTTTTTTTTTTCCTTTTGTGCAAAGAAAAGCACTGATGACCACTGAAAGGTTGTTGGGTGTTTATGAAGCTATTATTTCTACTGTCTGTGTTAATCACCGATCAATGAGGCAAGCATGGGGCGCTAACTTAGACAGAGCATGCCGAGCACCTTGCATGAAAATGGGGATTCTGAAGGTTTTAATAAAGTCATGTTACTGCATGTGAAGCTGAATGTTGTTTAACTAAATTACTTGACTTATTTCTTATAAAGTAGCGCTTTAAAGCATTTGAAAAAACATATTCTTTCAAATTAAATTTTTTTAATACTGGTGCCACTACAATACACAAATACAGTAACCACACCATAACTATACTTTTTTCTAATCCCTTAATTTGAGTAATATTAACATGTTTTTCTACAATAAATGAAAGACTTTTTTTTGTGTGTCATGCCATCAAAGTGGGATTACGTGACATACAAAAATACCACAAATAAAAAAAAAAATCCATAATTGACAGAAATCTTCTAAGATACAAAAATGACTGCACATACAGTCCCTGACAAAAGTCTTGTCGCTTGTGTACAAATTGACCTGAAGTGCCGTTGAAATATATTTCTAATCAAGATTTTTTTACAAGAAATTGCTCATTTTAATCCCAACAGCTTTTGTAATAATGTTTCAGTGCAAAACGAAACTGTCAAAAAGTATTCTAATATTCACAGCTTGGTAAAGCCCATTGAGTCAATTTTTGCAAATACACAAGTGTCGCCTTGTCATATGAGCTTCACCTGTGACTAATAATGGATCAATTAGGTCTCAGGTGTGTATAAAAACAACCCCAGTACACTAGACCTTCACATCAACAGCAACTAGACCTCTGCAAACATGCCTAAGATTCACCCTGAGACTAAAGTTTTTATTATCAAGAGGCTGAAGACCAGATCCACTGCTGATGTGGGAGACACCTTCAATGTGTCTCAGCGTCAAGTACAGAGGATAAAAAAAACATCTGAAGACACTGGATACATTTTTGACAAGCCCAGGTCAGGCAGACCCTGCAAGACAACTGCTCGAGAGGACCGTTTGTTGGCCCGAAAATCCAAAGCCAGCCCATTTTCCACTGCAGCAGAGCTCCACGAGACCTGGTCACCTGAAGTCCCTGTGTCAACCAGAACAGTTTGTCGGATTCTGTCTCGAAATGGCCTCCATGGTCGAATCAGTGCCCAGAAGCCAGCACTAAACAAAAGACAATTGAAAAACCGTGTGGCAATTGCCAAGGCCCACAGCCTGCAGGATGGACGCTGGAAAGGTGGAAGAAGGTGGATTTTTCAGATGAATCTTCTGCTGAATTACACCACAGTCGCCGCAAATATTGCAGGAGACCTACTGGAGCCCGCATGGATCCGAGATTCACCCAGAAAACAGTGAAGTTTGGTGGCGGAAAAATCATGGTCTGGGGTTACATCCAGTATGGGGGTGTGCGAGAGATCTGCAGGGTGGAAGGCAACATCAATAGTGTAAAATACCAAGAAATCTTAGCTACCTCTTATATTCCCAACCATAAAAGAGGCCAAATTCTGCAGCAGGATGGTGCTCCATCGCATACTTCCATCTCCACATCAAAGTTCCTCAAGGCAAAGATCAAGAAGCTCCAGGATTGGCCAGCCCAGTCACCAGACATGAACATCATTGAGCATATGTGGGGTAGGATGAAAGAGGAAGCATGGAAGACGAAACCAAAGAATATTGATGAACTCTGGGAGGCATGCAAGACTGCTTTCTTTGCTATTCCTGATGACTTCATCAATAAATTGTATGCATCCTTGCCAAACCGCATGGAAGCAGTCCTTCAAGCTCATGGAAGTCATACAAGATATTAAATTTGGATCTCACAGCACCACTAATTAATTTTCTGACATATTTTTGTATTTGCAGTAAATTTGTCTTGCCAAAATTTGACCTTTCTGTCTTGTTTAAATGATAAATCTTTTTTCAGTGAAACTAATTTATTTCAGTGCATTAAACATCATTTGGGAGGGTTTTAGCTTTTCATATGAGCTATTTCTAACACCAATTGATTAATTAAAAGTCAGGTTAATAGCAGGTGTTTCTGCAAAATAGATAAGCGACAAGACTTTTGTCAGGGACTGTACTGTGTGTTAGATATGAAAACTACCTCTGTAAAACATCTTTGTGTCCATGCACTGACCAAATGATCAGATATAGATAGATGTTTATTTAGTCCTTGTGGAAATTCATTTTGTCATACAGCAAATGTCAGATAAACAACATCAACAGACTAACAACCAGACAACTGCTTTGCCAACACAAACATCCCCCACGAGTGCTATACAATTTATACCAAGGTGCAGGTCCCGCACACCCCAAGGTTTTATCATCTCAGTGCTAATAAGCACAAATGACCTGCAGGCCTGGTTGGTTTGGAGAGATGGCACCCTAAACCTTCTGCTTGATGGTAACAGCTCATACTCGCCAAATAGGGGTGGTGATACATCTCTAATAATCGCCTGCCCCTTCTTCACCAGGTGCAGGTTGTCACAGGTCATCGTCATGCTAGTTTGCTGTATCCCGGCAATCTTACTGGACATATTAACTATCTTATGCAGTTTATTTTTATTATTTACTGACAATGTGAAATACCAGGGAATAGAACAAAAAGTTAGTATGCTTTCCACAAAGCAGTGATAGAAGAGGACTAATATATCTCTGTCCACATTAAAAAGTCTTAGTTTATGCATAAAATATATAGACGCTGCAACCCTTTCTTATAAATAACATCTGTATTAAAATTCCATGACAGGCACAATAATTTATGCTAAACTAAGTATTTATAATCATCTACCATTTCAATACTCTCTTCATCCATAGTAAGTGGTTGGTGGGTGTTGGTGATCTGACGGCGTGACTGTCCCAATCTTTTTTTTTTTTAAATTTAACTGAATTACCTGTTCCTCTGACCACAATACAAAAACCACCCCTGCTTTGTAATTTCACAAAACATTCCTAACTTCTCAGTGCCTCAGTGTTTAATGTTCTCTCAGTACAAGCAGCTGAGCCACAACTTTGCACAAATAAAAAACAGCCTAAACCAAACAAAGTTATGATTCATATCAGTAAATGTTTGGTCAGGGAATAACTAAACCAAATTATGAATCTAAACAAGCATACAATGCCAAATTTTGAAACATGACAGCTTTTCAACACATTTTGGTCAGTACTCGACAAGTTGTGGGTTTGATGCTCAGCCCTAATCACATCATGACAGTTTAGGTAATGTCAGTCACTTTGGCATTTCATGTTGCTGAGGTCAGTGTACCATGCAATTTGTGCCATTTGACAGAAGATTTATGTATACCTTTTGCACATTAGTAACAAAGTATTTTTAAAGGCTTTTCAAGCCACCGAATGGCACTGTAGGTGAAGAATTAAAAGTGAAAAAAGAATAGAAGTGCTAAAAATAGATTCAAACAGTGAGAAAATATGCATCCATGTGGAACTTGTGTAGTGTATTTTTAGTTGGTTTATATTAATGTTGTCCTGATGAGTTGTGAGAAAATGTGAAACAAGTCTAAATACACTTTGATTGAATATACTGGAGCCTGTGAAATTAAGAAAAAATATATCGTTTTTTGTAAAACAATCTAAAGTCAAGGTTCACTTACCAGCTTTTATTGGAGCTTTCAACTGCATCCCATGGCCCTCTTTAGCAAATGGAACTTGCTCAGGTGTTATTATGACCCATCTACATAAGAAACAGAAACAGGTGCTGTAATCTTCCTTTCATGTATCGACAATTGTCAAAGCTATGGGAAATGATAGAAAGCTCCAGGAAGAAAAGCTAGTAGTGAACCTGAGATTAGTATATTTTATCACACATAGATGTTGCATTTGTAGTATGTTTTTTGTTGTGTTAGAGATTTTCCTGAGCACATTCTTCAGGATCTGCCTCCTCTGTGTTATAAACCTGCCTCAAGTAGTTCAGCAAACAACTTGAAATGTTAAATTTAACATGCTTGCTGTACCTGACTTTTTTGATGATCACACTTATTGTGACCTACACGGGA